CCCCGGGGCAGTGCCTGGCGGGAAGGACGGCCCTCACCAGCCTGCTGCAGCCAGGGCTTGGCCCACAAACTGTACGCTCTGGGCTCCCTGCCCGAGCGGGGAGAAGAGCGGGCCAAGCACCGCGGGGGAGCAGAGCACTCTTCACGGTGTAATGCAGGATTTCTGTATGTGCCAGCCCAACTTAACTGACTCACCTCCAGAAGCTGAGGTGGTGAGCTACAATTCTTCCTTAAAAAAGGTGTTCTGCAAATATGTTTCATCATTTTAGCCTTCCCCCGCCCCCCCTTTTTTTTTTAAACCCACACTTTCAGTGCATTAATTGATGCTGCAGCATTAAACCTGTACAAAATGATTTAAGATTTACTTAAATTACTTCTCCATTAGGTCAATGAAAGTACTGCAATTTAGCCTGAACCAACAGGAACTGCAGAGAAGAACCGATACTGCTTTAAACTAAAGCAGCACAATGAGCCTGCGAGCACCAGGCTGCAGGAGCAAGGCAGCTTGAACCCACCCCATCGGTGTGTCCCTGGGACAACAAAACCACTGACAAACCCCTCCACCCTTTCCCCTTCCAAAGCAACCTGCCTGCCAGAGCTCATTTAACCACACAAATGTAACAGCCTTCACTGAGAAAAGATATAGACAAGCTTCACCATAGGAAGAGTGTAGTGACAGCAAGGCCCTTTCAGACGCCGCCCACTGAATTTCCAATCTGTGGGCAAAACAAAGCAGACTTGTTTTTTTAAAATCAAGCTCACATTAAGTTCTTCACTGATAATAGTTCCTAAAAACTGGATCCTGCATGGCTGATGAATGCTAATGGTGTAACTAACTGCAACAAGACAACCTTTCTCCTTTACTTCCCAGATGTTAAATGGCCCTAGAATCATGAAACAATCTCTACACTTAAGTTTCCATGTGTCACCGAAGTATGCAAGTTTTGTGTCGCCACCTTTTGGAGGCATGCTAATATATACTTCAGTTATTCTTAGAAATAAGCATCATGTCATTAAACCAATTTCATTTTTCACATCTGAGGAAAATTCTGTTGCATTACACGCTTTCACCTGTGTGTTAAAAAGAAACCAACAGACTTTCCATCTATGCGGAGAAATACAATTTATTTAAATAATCTCTGATCTGGGTCTTCTTGTACAACGACAAATTCTTCAAGTGGGGTTTGATGATTTGTTGGCCAACAGCTTCTCTCACATGTGTAAACTATAACAGTCCCAAATTCCACTGACAGATCTAAAAACAAAACAATAGAGGTATGTAACATAAAGGTATGAAAAATGACACGATCAGGGGCTACTGCTTATTGCTATACTTCAATCTTTGCCAATTCAGGAAGTGTTTTTCATATTCAGTCTCCTACGTACATAGCATTTTCTAATTTCAAAGATTTTAAAGCAAGCTGACTTACAATTTTCAAAGAGCTCCTTAAGTGTCTGCAATTTTATCTGACAATATTTATTATTTTCCAAGGTCTCGTTTAAGAGGCAATAAAGAAAAATTACTCCTAAGGCAATGTAATTATCTATATTGCTGTTATTAAAGTCCACTAGTGAGCAAATGAACTTCAAATCATAGTGTTTCCGTAAATGAGAGTTAAATCTTTTGCTTAGTGAAATCTGTAACAGAAACAGTGGATTCTACATGAGATGAGCACTGTAGTTAAGCACATCAGTGCAGATGGCTAGCAGGAAACAAATCTCAATTGCATTCACTAAACTTTACCAAGCAGGTGGCTGTTTCTAGTATTCATTCAGCTAAGTCAAAGGTCAACACCTGAATCACTCTGGAGCATGCTGACCAGCGCTGGCATGAGTTGAAACTCATATATTCTCTTGCTTCCACAGTTACTGCAGGCTGGAATACCTTTGTCAATGCTGGCTGGAGGACATGTTATGAATAAAGGCTGGCCACCCCAAGAGTATCTAAGAGAAGAAAAGAAAAAAGTATTGACTTTTTGTATATAAATTAATAGAAAAACACACATGTTGGCAACAATGTTCAGGATCCTCTGAAACCTCTGAACTTGCTTGAAGTAAAAAAACATTGTTATGAGCCAGAATCATTGCCCAAGTTTCAGCTGGGTCATTAAACAAAGAATAGAGATGGGGAAAAAGAATACCTGGAAGGTCAACACTTGTGAAGTCTTAATGAAAGAGCTAGATCTAAAGGAGATGGATGCTTTGACTTGACACCTCCAAAATATGCTGTACCTGACTCATTTAAATAAATAAGCAAATTACACTTTCCTAAAGAATTGAATCCTAATCTGTGTCAGTTAAGGATCGTCATCACAGAACAGGTCTCACAACCTAGAGACCCACATCGTCTGGGTCTGTTCTCATCAGGCCTTACACTGAAGAAAGTCTCCCATTGCCAGATTTGGCGTCTCTGATCCTGTTCACTTCTCATCCACTTACACTTATATAAAAAAAGACCAATCAGAGACTGAAGTGTGGCTACACAGGCATGGTTAACAGCCCTCTTCGCAAATTTTTTCATTAAGAAATAAAAACACACATATATTTCCAATGAAATAGTTTATTTTCACGTACTAACAATCCACATCTATGCTCTCTATCTCCCTGTCACAACCAGATGATCAACATACCTTATAATCTGTTCAGGACACACAGATATTCTTTTCATAAATTTATGAAACGTGTAGTCCCTGCCTTTGACTTCACTCTTCTCATATTTTTCAATATCACCTTCACCTGCAAAACTGTAAGAACACAAGAAAAAGAAACAAAATTTCCAATAAGGTTTTCAATATGATATGCATGCTTTAAATATGCAATTGTTACTATACTTTCATATTAAATTATACTAAGTACACTCAAAAAAATATACATGTTTTAATTAAGAGGCAATCTTTGCTTCTAGTGCCTCAGTTTCAGGTGGCTTACCATTACTAGCAGTGTTTCAAACTACCACATGAGATTAAAATTCACCAGATACCTGCGTATTACTAAAAATAATTAAAAAAAATATTCCTTTACTAAGTTCCCAGAAGTTTTTCTAGTTTTTCAATTACAATGTTGTCTTTTTAAATTTTGCATTAAGTGTAATTAAAGTTCTATGACTTTATAAAGGTCAACAAAACTCAACAGGAACACCACTACTATAAAATATTCTATGCAGATTCTGCAACTGACAGTAGCTTTAGGTATGAAAAAATTCAACATTGTCCAGGTTTCAGGGGAAGTCACTGTAAACGGTGATATAATCAAAAGACAAATAGTTTAGATGTGAGAGTCATTGTGATCACCCAAGTTAATATTGAAAATATTTTCAGTAACTGCATTTAAAAATTGTTTTTCAGACAACCTTAACAAAATCCTCACGAGTCTGCCTATTACTATCATCCCAGTCTCTAGTCAAAATCCCTAAGTAATTAAACTCTTAAAAATGCAACCGGAATATAAGGAAAGCTTTAACCTTGTAAAGACAAAAAGTCAAATATTACAATATAAACTCATGCCCTTTAGCGTAAGATGTTGTTTAAATCACACTGGTTTGGTTTCAGAGGTTGAAGGTCCACTGCTCTATCTGGAGCCCAAGGAAGTTCCAGCTGCTCAGTCACTCAGAAACAGATGCATCTCTAAGTAACTCAAAATTCCAGAAACTGACAAAACTGGGCACATTGTTATGCTCTTCCAGGAAACCATACACCAATGATTCCTGAAGGAGCAAGTTATGAACAAAAAGCATCCAGATTTAGAAACAGTCGTATTTAGATTATCAATCAGCACACAGGAAACTACACAATCCCTTCCGTTCAGCATGAAATCCAGATCTGTTCTCACCTTTCTGTCATCAGCTGTTCCAAATCAACACCCTCCCTCTGCTGATACTCCTTCAATAGCTTATCTGCATGATCTGTATCAAGGAAACCAACATAGTCTTCCTCATCCACAACACTAATGTAAAAGGGCTGGAACACAGGAGCTGAACCAGCTATAGCTGTTACTGTTCCCTCGCTGACGGGAGGATGTGTATTCAGGGAACCCAATGTGTTCACAGCTTCAGACAAGCGAAGCTGTTGGAACTGAGACGCACACTCCACCTCTCTGGACGAGGAGCTGCTCTCTACTTCATTTAAGCCAAGCAGCTGAAAGGAGGCGCTTGCAGAAGATTCTGCTTCATCACAGACTCCCCAGTCATCTGCTTCATCACACCAATCCTTTGCAGCAAAGTTCGATTCTTGTTTCTGAGAAGAAAAACAAAAACACCAAAAAGAAGAACACTGTCAAAATCAGCCACCCTAATGCACTTCAATACAGCTTCACGAGTATACCAGATAAGAAAATGAAAACCTTAACCCAATGCTTAGTGTTATTTTGCCCATTACCCTCAGAGTGGTAGTTGTCAGCACACCCACGTTTACTTTGCACAGCAGCACAGTTATGGAAAAAAAAAAAAATCTCACACTGGAGAAACAGAACAAGAATTCACTGGCTTTTTACATCACGTTGCCACACCCAGGCTGCTGGCACGACCACTGGTAGCTAGCTTGGGTATGTTTATCTGAACCACAGTTACTGCACCACGGGTAAGCTTAAAGAACAGAATATGGAAGAATATTATTATAAATAATAATTTTAAAAACATTTTAACAGTATAAGCTTATTTACCACATAAATTTCATATTGTAAATGCACCAGTTGAAGAAACACTTTCCACCTGTCACCAATGGTTTGATAGCCATCCTCCTCTTCCAATTTTAAGCCAACAGGCAGTTTTTCTTCACAAGTAAAAACAGCAGAAGTATATAACTAATATATTAGTTAACTGGGTCAGATTAAAAAAAATTGATGATAATTTTTAAAAAATCTACTTAAATTAGAGAATAAAGAAAACATCTTAAAGATCCAAACTTAAACATTATAGCCCAACCACTTAAATGCAGTTGAAAAATAATGTTTAGGTAGCTCAGGAAATTAAAGCACTAGTTATCAGTTTTGATCACATAGTTGGATTGCATTCTCCACTTTCAAACAGCCCTAACATCGATCACAAATAAGAAGCTAATCTTCTAGTAAATGACATACAGCACTCATGGTGTCAAAAATTCCGTGACCGTGACTTCTCCACGCGACCAGACACACGTACACTGGCACCGAGCACAGCTTCTTGAGAAACGCCATGGTGACTTCAACAAGTACACGTACGTGTGAAACTCACCCAACTGTACCGCATTTTTACTTTAAAACCTCCTCAATGCTGCGCTTCATACAGCACACTGACACCAAAGAGAGAACCAGAACCAGGAGGCGGTCTGA